GCCAATTTCTTCTTGGGGACCGACCAAATTGGAGAAACACATTGTTGTATTGGTGATAATTCTGTGCGATATTGAGCTTGATGTCTGAAATTAATTTTTCCCCACAGTATAAAAAGGGGTCAAATCTTGCAATAACGGACATTCTGATAACAAAGATCTTATATGTAGATCAAGAATTAAGAAATGATCGACTATTGGTTGTGAGATGCTATTAATTACCTTTATCCCAAAAAATCTGAGTGCTAATTCTGAAATGGAAAATGTGTAGATAGCTTCAAGAGAGTTTTTCTTACGATCAATGGTTGCCTTAGCTTCTCTGATATAATCTAAGGGGTCATCTCGTAATGCAATTTTAAAGGGTAGAAGAACAAAGCCAATCCAATTCCCCCACTTTGCCTCGGTGTCCTTCTCCATCATATCAGCTAAGGCCTATATACGTATAAGTTAAACACGAAAAGAGTATCAACAACTTGGGTTGAAGTATAAGCTAGGAAAACAAGAAGTGCTAAAATTTTGAAGAAAGAATGGATGCCATCACCTGAATTCCAGTTGACGGTCTTAAGTTTACAAGAAGAGTTGATCTGAGTCTTATGTTCTTAGGAAGATTATTGTTTTTCTCTGTTACTCCCTTGTTTTTCCTGCCCTCACCTGCCAAATTTTGCATAAAAGATTACTTCCATGAACTGTTTCCAGTTCTTTTTGGATTTAACTTATTAACACTGACATTGTAAAGAAGATAGTGTAATTTTACTTGTTATAGGAGGTTGTCTACCAATTATTTTTAAAAACTAATTCAAACTTGTAATGGGAAGTTACTTGTAGTTTAGTTATCTATGAATGACCTTATATTATAAAAATTATTTCAAGTGTATAAAAAGAAAGAAATTCGAATATCCTCTGGTTATGGTTACGGTAGTTATGATTCAATGACTGAACTTAAAAAAAAAAATAAGGGTGAAAAATCATAAAAACAATGTATTATAACACGAGGCAGAAACTTACCAAATCTCCTATTAAGATATACAGATAAACCAGCTTGTGTCACTCCCAGAGCGACATCATTTATTGTCTGTGTAAGAAATAAAAAAGTTCAAAAACATCAAACAACTATATTAACATCTACATTTCGTTCCTAATGCAAAATTGAAAAGAAGGGGGAAAAAGAAGGAAGTTGCCAAAACATATATAGCATATTTTTGGACCAAGTATATACTTACGTACCATATTCAATGCATTTTTCACCAACTTCAAATCGTCAAGACTTACTGTCCTGTACACAAATCGCCTAGGATTAAACTCAGAACCGGGCTTACCCTTAATTGGCGTACTTGTGTCCTTCAAAAACATAGTCGTGGCCATAAACATCAACACATCCACTATTGTGTTCCAAAACAATCTCATAAATGACCAAACTTTAGCAAAATATTGCCATAATCCTTTAGTCGTATACTCTGAAGAATTGATAGGCATTTTCTTATTTCCAGGAATAGTTGGAATTTTATCTGGATGAGCAGTTTGGCGAGTACAAGCGAGCAAAAGGGAAATAAGAGAGGTGCCATCTCCGAGTGAATGATGGATTCGAAATACGGCAACAGCCTCAGCATCTGATGTTTTGACGTTGAGAAGATGGAGATCCCAGAGAGGTTTCGACTTGTCAAGTGTGGTTTTGCTAAGGTTCTGAATATAATTCTCCACGAATTTGTCTGGTGATCCCTGCAGGTTCTGTTCATCTACTTGTGGTACCACAATGTGCTTATCTAAATCCACCATTGTCCGGACCCATTTCATCTCTCCATTTTTTTTCTCATCCACCACCTTAAAAAGAATGAAACATGTCATTTAAGAAGGCATGCTAAGTCAAAAAGGCATATGAAGATTTTTTGGTTTTTGAAAATCCTCCTTTTTTCTGTTAACAGTGTTTTTGTACCATATTTGTTAGGAACAAAGTACACTATAGACTTGTTCCTAAGTACTTGTAATTTCATTATTGGATAAGAGATTTTTTTTTTTTAATTTTGGCTAACAGATCAAGTGTAATACAGTATATATTATGTTCTTATATCTAATATTTAGTCAATCTTTAAGGGGAAAGGCCCATCAGGAAGGTTTGCTGTTCAGGCCTTTATGCAGTGTCTAGGTTGTGCACTACAACCCGGGCTAGGTGCACCCAAATAAAAGGAAAAGAAAAGGTTAAAACAGTAACAAATTTGTTTCCGAGAAATTCTCAGATTAATTCTTTGCATTTTATTATTCTTCAATATTCAAAAAATATATATAAATTCGAATAAAATATGGTTTGCATTTCCTCGTTTGATGAGGTATGTTAAATAGTACATTTCCTCGTTTTATGGTGGAAACCACACCCGTTAGTCACTTGGGGGTCGTTTGGTTGTCGGATAGAGTTATGCAGGTATTAATTATACATGTATTAGTTATGCAGGTATTAGTTATGTATGTATTAGTTATGCAGGAATAAGTAATCCAGGGATTAATTATGCATTTATTAGTTATGCAGGTTTAAGTTATGCAAAGTTGAGTTACGATGGGATTAATTATGCATGGATTAGTTATGCGGTAGTTATATAAGGATTAGTAATATAAATGTAATGTGAGTGTTATTTATTATTAGCTTACTTTATTTTATTAAAATTGTTAGTATAGTTTAAATATATATTTTTAAACAAAAAAATATAAGTTTCAACAAAGGGTATTCTTGTTATTTTGTGTTTTAATACAAGTATTACTAATACATGTATAAGTTATTCCACCTTCTACCCTGCATAAATAATACATAGATTCCCTCATAACTTATACATGTATTAGTTTTGCGGAAAAGAAAAACATGAATTAAACGTTGTATTAGCAATACTACATTTTATGTGGAAAAGAGGCAAAAATAACCAAACATTGTATAACTTATGCTAGCTTCTATGCGGAGATTATTTTTTCCCCTTCTTTTAACCAAACAATGTATAAAGTTATCCTAATTTTAATACATGGATAACTCCTCTCTAACCGGCTACCAAACGACCCCTTCATGCACCGTTTAAAACATAACCGGATTTTAAACTACTTAAAGTCTAGACCACTTAGTAGAATATGTAGAATTTTGACTGGGGAGCAGCTATCTTCTTTAAGGATCAGATATGGCAATGCTAACATCAAAGTTAGTTGATTGTACATTTTAGTAGAAGTAGTAATGGGTAATGTAACAAAGAGGTCGACCCTACATTTTTTAACTTCATGCAAAAAAATATAAGACTTGAATTTTTACAGATCAAATTATAAAAACGTTTCTATCTTGTTCATCTTAGATAGATTTTGTTGAACAGTATCGAATCTGTTTTCGATTTTAAAGATTACAATTACCTTATAGAACTACAGAAATTTTTCTATCATGATAATAGATGTGAACTTAAAATGAATATATTTCCTGAATTTTTTAACTTGTATATATATTACTTGTTTAAGCTAAAAATGTTAGTACATCTTCTTCTGCTGTCAAAGAGGCAGATTAGTCGTACTTGCATAAATATATCATTGGCAAATAAGACTAATATTTTGGCCATTTTGCATGGTACCTGCAGGCTGGAGAAACGAGGATGCTTAAGCAAAGTATGGACCAATTTCTCTTTAATAACTTGAGGATTGATTCTTGATTTGCTGCCCATTATAGCTATAACATGAACATTGAAGTTGGGCTCGTGAAATAACCTTGCTGATGGACTCAATAGCTCTTCTTCAGCTGCTTCCATGGCTAATTTTGGCTTAGTTTGAATCGGTTTCAGACTCGGTTTTCTCCATCTTATGGACTCCATTAATGTAGAGAACTTGTTCTCAATAACGTTTAGCTAGTAGTAATAACTTTTCTGTTGTTCTGGAAAATGGGTTTTTGTTCCACATGCTTTCGTATTATATAAGTTTGAAAACCGAAGTAGTAGCTAGCTTTTAATTTTGTCTTACGTTGGATACTTCTGTCTCATATGAATATGGCTAGTATTGGGATATAGGCATATAGCTGAAGGTTGAAGGTTGTGCAATTAATGAACAGTTGCGTCAGGTATTCAAAAGCAATTAATTATCCTACAGCTTTTGTTTAGCTTACAGTTAAAAAAGCAAACTCAAAGACGCCCAAAAATTTCAAAGGGACAATTATCTTGGGAAACCAGCCTTTGGCTTTTCTTTAGAAACAGTTTCGGTTTTAATTAAAAGTTGTTTCCCGCCAAATGAAACTAAACAAACACCTAAGTTAGCATTTAATTTATATACACAAACAGCCAATAAGAAAGCTATGGTTCCATTGAATCTCTTTTATCGAAAATATATAGTGTGCAAATAGAACAAAAACTAAATTTATTTGTACATATATACATTTCTGAATCCATCTAATTAGATTAGTTGTTAGTATAATGAAAGAAGTGGTTCAAAAATTGTTTTCTTCAAATCTTACACACGACATTGTGATATTTTTCTGAATTCCTTGTGAAAATTTCTGTCTCTACCATTGCTGACATTAATATTGAGATTTTCTACAATAATGTCTTTCAACTTTCAACCTAGTAAATAATTAATCTACATTAATTAGTTTCTATATTATGAATCTCACTCGATCACACCTTCCCGTTTCACAATCTTGTGTTAGTCATCAATGACGACGACGAAGAAGACAGATTTCAAACTGTGGCCAGAAGTAAGAGGTGTCGCAGAAAGATCAGTAACAAAAGTATACTTCAGAGCGTTTGCTGAAAGACTTAGACAGGTGGCGTAAATGGTGATGCATGCAACTTCAAAACTACTACCCTATCTTATTTTTTTTATTTTTTATTTTTGGTAATAAATGTGAATATTACCATAACAACCAAAGTAATTTTACATCCTAAAGAGCCTTTAGTGTCTTTACCACCTTCTAGGAAGGGTGCTCCGGACTCTAGATCTCCAAACAATAACAACACATCTAATTACATAACTTCTGAATCAATAGACTTTTTCTAGCTCTTTTATTCCTATCCGATGTACCCAATCAATCTATAATCTCTCTTTTTATCTGTGCAAACACACACTCTCTGTCTACATTTACTTTTCTAAAGATTTTTCAGTTCCTTGCTTGCCAAGTGTAATACAACATGGCTCTCCATACTGCAGCAACTATTTCCTTTTGGAATTGGCTCCATCGTCTCCGTTTGATCCACTTGATCACCTGGCTTGCTTCACTGTTCTGAATCTTTATGCCCAGCCAGCTGCTCAGCTTTCCTCTTAGGTCTGTAATACACATGCATTGACCAAAGAGATGTGCTTGATTTTCCATCTGTGCCTGATCACATAGACAGCATTGTTGATCATCCACACGAGTCAGTATCCTCTGCAATCTCTCCTTGGTTAGCAATTTATTTTTACATGTCAAGCACACTAGGAACCTATGTTGAGGAAGCATAATTGCGCTCCACAATAGCTTAACCTCCCTTACTTTAGGTAGAGGCCCTACCATATGATGATAGCTTCTCGACATGGAATATTCTCATGATGTGGTCAATAGATATTTGTCTTCTTGATACCATCCTGCCATTTGAACTTTGAGGGAGTTCAATTTCTTTCAATACCAGCTACAATCTCTGTTGGAGTGTGATCTTATATGCTATCTTTATCCTTTATGTAGATACTATTGACCCATTTTACCCATAAAATGTCTTTCTTTCTAGTTAGTTGCCATAGTAGCTTACCAACAGCAGCAATGTTCCATTTGCAGTAGCCTTTGATATTTAAACCTCCATTTTCCTTTGGAATACATACCATGTCCCATGCAACAAGGTTAATTTTCCTTTTGTTCTCTGTAGCACCCCATAGGAAGTCCTTGCATTTCTTATCAACTTATTTTACTACACTTTGAGGCAGTATGAACACTGCACTCCAGAAGTGATATATAGAAAACAAAACTGCCATGATAATTTGCAATCTCCCAGCATATGATAATTGCCTTGTGTAAGCAATAATTTTGTTTGTGATCTTATCAACTAATTGCTTGCAATCTATCTTGTTCCACTTTCTTGCAGTAAGTGGAAGGCCTAAGTACCTTATAGGCAAGGTTTCTAAAGTGAAACATGTTATTTTGAGCATATTCTGCTTTGTAATATCATCCGTACCTGCTATAAACATATTAGATTTATCCAAGTTAGCCTCCAACCCTGTTACATCACTGAAATACTGCAATGCCTCTATAACTCTAGCAACTGATTTCAAATTTGCTTTGCAGAATATCATGAGATCATCTGCAAATACCAGATGTGTTAGTCTTATATTCTTGCACATGGGGTGATATATGAAGTCAGGAAGATTACTCATCTTGCTTAGCACCCTTGAGATATATTCCATAACTAGGACAAATAGAAGGGGTGATATAAGATTCCCTTGCCTGAGTCCCTTCCTCCCTTCAAAATAGCCATGACTCTCCCCATTAACTCTGATGGAAAATTGTGTGGTAGTAACACAAGTCATCACTAGACTAGTGAAGGAATCTGAAAATCCAAAACCTTTCAAAGCTTCCTCTATAAATTCTCAATTGATCATATCATATGCTTTTCTAAGGTCAATTTTCATGAGGCATCTAGGAGAGGTCTTCCTATTGTAATATCTCAATAAGTCATGACATATTAAAACGTTATGAATCAATGATCGACCTTCTACAAAAGCTGCCTGGTTTTCTGCTACTAGCATTGATACTACTTTCTTTAAGTATGATATTGGCCGGAACTGACTTGCATACTCTGGCACTGGCACTGGTACTTTAGGAATTAGTGATATTACTGTTGAATTGATTTGTCTTAGCAATATACCATTCTCCATGAATTCCAATATAGCTGCAGTAATATATTTACTAATTATACTCCAAGCTTCTCTATAGAATCCACTGCCATACCCATCTGGCCCTGGACTCTTGTTCACATCAATGCTGAACATAGCTTGTTTCACCTCCTTAGTTGTGAAAGGTTGGATCATTTCTACCCGTTGTTCAGTAGAAAGTATATGTTCATTCTTCAAGAAGCTCTGAAAAGTTTTTGCTCTTCTTCTTTCTCTCTTTCCTAGCATTGTTTCATAATAGTCTACAAGAACATTTGCTATGCTTGCACTGTTTGTTTGTACTGCCCCAGTTTGATCCTTGATCAGAGTGATGGCTTGTTGTAATCTCTTGTGTTTGATAACTGAATAGAAGTATTTAGTGTTGTCATCTTCTAGCTTGATCCAGCTTGCCTTACTTCTCTGTTGTAAAAATATTTCTGCTAGATAAGAAGATTTTCTAAATTTTGGGTACATGGCCTTCTCCTGTTCTTGTAATATCACACTTGAAGGATTTGCATGCAGCCTATTTTGAGCTTGACTTAAAGCTGCCCTGCCATCCTCAGCCTCTGCTAGAATATTCCTAAAGTGTTGCTGGTTGAGCTTCTTAAGAGCCTTCTTTAGAATTTTTAGCTTCTTAACTATTTGGAACATACTATAGCCTTCTATTTGTTGTTGCCACACCTGTGTTACAATCCCCTTAAACTGGGGGTGTAAAGCCCATACATTGCAGAATTTAAAGACTCTATTTACCTTCAAAGTAACACTAGCCATTTTTAGTTTAAGTGGGCAATGATCACTGATCCCCTCTACAAGAAAATTAGCCTGAACTACTGGCATATTATCCAACCATTCTCTATTGACAAATGCCCAATCAATTTTGGAGAACACTCTATTATCTCCATGTTTGTCATTCCATATGTACCTACACCCTCCACATGGTAACTCTATGAGTTCACAAGCATCAATACAAGCTTGAAAATCCACCACTTCTCTCATACTAACTAGAAGCCCTCCTATTCTGTCATCAGCTTGCAATACTGAGTTAAAATCCCCAGTAATCAGCCATGGTATATTAATACCTCCACTAGTACTTTTTAGATGTTGCCACAAACTCTTCCTATCCTCCTTAGTATTAAAAACATACACAACCGTCATATAGAACTCCTTTTGAAGAATAACATCAGTAACTAAACATGTAATGCTTTGGGCAGTTCCACTTATATACTTGATTTGATAGTAGTCAGGCCTTCATACTATAACCACTCGACAATTATAGTGTTGATCTAGATTCGTGAGGTACTGTCATCCTCCAAACATATTATTTATTACTTTCTCCATATTGCCTGCCTTAACCTTAGTCTCTAGCAAGCTTACTATACCAATATTTTCCTTGGTACAAAAGAATTTGACCTCCTTTTGTTTGTTAGGAGCATTTAAGCCCCTAACATTCCAGCTTAGCATGCTATCCATCTCTACTTGGAGACAGAACAGTGCCTCTCCCATGTGATACCTGGCTATTCTGTGGTTGTGTACTAGTGCTGGCCTCTCTTAGAACACTGAAAGTGTTGTGCCCTGTTGATGCCTCTTGTACTTACTCCTTAGATGACTTCCTTGTATTGTGTGGAGTTACCCAGCCTTCTGAGTTCATCTTTCTTCTTTCAGTTATACTTTGTGGTGTCACATTTTCGACTCCAGACCTTGCATTCGCAATTACTGGTGCTGTTAAATTCTGATTGCTGATTGCCTGACCTTTGTTTGTATCAGTTGTTTTTACTTATTGCACAACAATCTGTTACTTTAGGGGGGTTGGTTGCTTCTTCCTCCTACATTCTTCCTCTGAATGACCATATTTGTGGCAATGCTTGCATAGTATAGGTTTCCAGTCAGACTGAATTCTCTGTTCTACAAGTGAACCTTTTTCATTCCTAAAATATACCTTGTCTGGTAAGGGAGAATCAACATCAACCTCAATAAGGAGTCTAGCAAAATTAAGCCCAATCTTGTTTTCAGTGTTCCTGTCAGCCATTAGAGGCT